GGCACTTTCAAACCCTCATCGTCTGATTCTTCTTCTCCCTCCCAATTCCGGAGCACTTCCCTGCTCCCCTTCCTCCTCTGAAGATGAGGAATCCCTAATATCTACCATCAAAGAGCATTCTCAACCCCACTAACAAGAGAATTGGGCCAAATTTCCCACATAGAACCTCCATGACCAACAGAAAATACTGTGTTTTCTGATGGTCTTTGGCAACCCCTCTGATACCCCCCTCTTGACCCCCCCCCCGGGGTTCTGACCCCTAGGTTGAGAAACGCTGATCTAAGGAGATGATTCACAGTGTGGAGAAAATGGATACCATCTTTCCTGAAGATGAAGTCCAGAAATGAACAAAAATATTCCAGGTGATATCTGACCAAAGCAGAATATGAGACTTCTCAGCACTAAATCAGCACTTAGCTGCTATGTCTAATAACCAATGGTTTGTCTATTCCTTGTGAATCAGAGCCAGCTGAAGAATAATTGTAAGGGAAATGTTGTAGCTTTGAAAGAAAAATGGTTCTGTACATCATACAGGTTCCAGACAGATTCCTGGTACATCTCCCAGACATCCATCTCTCAGCGTCTCCTTTATTGTCATTTCTTCTGACAGCTAGTCAAAAAATTAAAAGAGCAAGAGCAAAAGCTAATGAGTTTCCAGGCCAACGTTTCTCTTTGCAATTGATTACCAATCAACTTCGGAACATTTCCAAGTGAAAACAAAGAAGCGAAGCGCTCTGCATAATCACAGAATAATTCTGATGCTCATGAAGGCGCCTTGAAAAAATGCTATCATCCTCTGCTCAACCTCCTCCAAAATGGAAGGAATTGCCACAGGTGGAAATGATACATCATTGGAAAACTTCCCAAGGGCTCCATTCACATTACAATCAAGGTCACGTAGGGATAGGAAAACCTATTTGTATTTGCCTATGTAGTTTAGTACTGCTTCTCTGGAGCTGGTTTTTGCACAGCTCCAAGGCCTGCAAGAGGGAAGGGATATATTGCAAATAGAGTTTGGATTTCAGCCTTTCAGTTAAAACAAACTTGGACCTCATCATGAATTGTACTAAAAGTTATGCCAACCTTTCTTTTTTGCTTATCTGGCAATTTAGGAGCTTGATGGTCTTAAATTGCTCATCTAGACAAATTCAAGGAGGACAACGGCCAAATGGCTGAAGAACCCAAGAACAGATCCATAAATAGCATGGCAATGAATAAAGGTTACTCGAGAGAGATGATATCAGCTCTTGTCTCCATGTCCTGCTGGTAGGATTCCCAGAATACGAGAGGAATCCATCCGCTTTAGCTTTTCTTAAAAAAGTAAATTTGCACGAGTCTTCATCTCCCAGACTGAACGTGGAGACAAATGACAGACCACCTTGAACACACCTATCTCCTCTATGTCCAGAAGCTCACCATTGTCAGGCTTGGAAGGAAGACCTCCATGGAATCCCAGGAATCTTTGTATAAGGATGGGGAAAAAAATATGGAGCTCTAGGTAAAGGTAAAGGCTTTCCCCTGACATTAAGTCCAGTCGTGTCCGACTCTGGGGATTGGTGCTTATTTCCATTTCTAAGCTGAAGAGCCAGTGTTGTCTGTAGTCACCTCCAAGGTCATGTGGCTGGCATGACTGCATAGAGCGCTGTTACCTTCCAGCTGCATAGAGCGCTGTTACCTTCCACCTATTGATCTACTCACATTTGCATGTTTTCGAACTGTTAGGTTGGCAGAAGCTGGGGCAAACAGTGAAAGCTCACACCACTCCCTGGATTCGAACCTGTGACCTTTCAGTTAACAAGTTTCACAGCTTAGTAGTTTAACCCACTGCACCACCAGGTACTTCCAGTTATATTTGATGACAATGGATTAGATGGGTTATTATTATTGTTATTGTTATTATTGTTTTCTATACCTTGCTTTATCTCTCCCAAAGGAGACTGAAAGTGGGTCATACTCCCTTAAAGTTAGTTTTCTGTATTCCTTCCTTTGTGATTCCAAATTCATATGTTTCTGGTATTACATTGTAGGCTTGTAAATTTCGACAAAACCTTGATCCATTTCTGCTGGATGGATCCCAGTAGACCTCCATATCCATTTCCACCCAACTCCTGAAAACAGGTGGGTAGTCAGATAGCCATTTTTGGTCTGCAGCTGAAAACTGTGGGTAGATCTGGCCCACTGGCATCAATGGGGAACTTAGAAGGTTTCTCTTTCTGTTCCTGGGACCCTTTCCTTTTCTCCTTCAAGGAAGCCTGGGTGTCAGCAGTAGGGTTAAGAAAGCACCCTATTCACCCCATTATGTGGCGGCGGGGGGGAGGGGGGTGGCTTCCCACAGTCTCTCATATCCTTCATTAAGACCTGGATTAAAAGCATTAAGATGCCACTCTTTCTGCACCCCCTTCTCTTCTGTCTGTAGAGGAGACCAGGTTTAATGCTTCGTTAAAGATGTTTCTTTCTACTCTAGAGAAGATACGTTGCAGGCAAGCATGCTCTCTCCTTTTACGCAGCTTCCAAGGCATTTAAGGAGGCTTCCCACTTCTCAGGGAAGAAAGAGTAATCGACCTGGAACTATCCTCCCTGGGCTTTCTTAAAAAACTCCTCTTTTTCTCAACTGCAGGCCCTGTCTGGAGTGGGCACGCATCAATCTCCAGGTTTAATGCTTCCTTAAAGCTGTTTCTTCTTTCTACTCTAGAGGAGAGGTAACTAGGTGGGAGTAGTTTTCAGAGAATGAGGGTTTTCTTTTTGTTTGCTGGGATTAATAATAATAATAATATCTTATCTTTTAGAAGTATTTGAAGGAGAGAAAGGGAAGAAGAAGCTAAAAGGTTGACTCTCCAAGCCTCCAAATGCACGTGTGCACTCCACCCACCTGTCCTGTACATTCCCAACTCCCAGTTAGTCCTAATAAATAAACAGAATCAAGAAAATAAAGGAAAAACATTAAATTGTGTTGCCGAATAGGGGAGGAGAAGCTGAGATCGGCTGTCACATGTTCCCGTTTCGGACGGGAATCTGTGATGGCTGGCTCCTTGCTGTTATGGGCACCTGAATAAACAAGAAGCCGGATTGGCTGAAGGAAATGGTTAAATGATGACCTGAAGCCCAGTTGAGCTATCCTTCCTGGACTACCTTAAAAATCCCCTCTCTTTTCTCTCTTGTCTCCTGCATATGTCATTAGTTGGAGACCCCTCCCCCCAACAGCAACTGCTGCTCTGAGCCAGAGTGAAGACAGGGGAGGCCAGGGGACAGTTCCACCTTGTCTCCTGTGCTATGCTAATATATAATATATAATAGTAATAATAATAAGATATTATATATATATATATATATATATATATATATATTACATGTAATATTGCTAATAATATTACAATATAATTGTATAGTACAATATAGTGATGTATAGCGCTGATATTGTAGTGTGCTAATGGTATAATGCAGGGATCCTCAAACTAAGATCCTCAAACTAAGATCCTATAGGCATAACACAGTGTATAGTGAACAACAACCAGTTGTTTACAAAGATTACACATACATAACATAAAGAGTCTTTTGGTGTAAAGGCAACTTGTCTTCAGGGCATAAGATCCCTTGCTTTAGAGTAAGCGTAATGTAAAGAGTCTTTCTTCGTGTAAAACCAACTTCTCTTCAGGCCACATGGATGTGGATATCCGTGTATAATGAACCGAAAATTTTCTAAAGCAAGGGATCTTATGCCCTCAAGACAAGTTGTCTTTACACCAACAGACTCTTTATGTTATGTATGTGTAATCTTTTTAAACAACTGGTTGTTCATTATACACTGTGTTTATACCTATACCATATAAATTTGTCATTTGTTGAATATTGTAATATACAAACTGTTAGGCAATATCGACCGTTGTCATTTATGTACCGCAACTTTTAGTGGATTTGTGTTTTTTGTATTGGTGGGAATCCATTGTCTTCTTGTGTCCTCAAACTAAGGCCTGGGGGCCGGATGCGGCCCTCCAAGGTCATTTACCCGGCCCTCGCTCAGGGTCAACCTAATCTGTAATGACTCAAAAGCACATAACAACAACAACAACAACAACAACAACAATCCTATCTCATCAGCAGGCCCACACTTCCCACTGAAATACTAATAAGTTTATATTTGTTAAAATTGTTCTTCATTTTAATTATTGTATTGTTTTTAAGTGTTTTTTGCACTACAAATAAGATATGTGCAGCGTGCACAGGAATTCATTCATTGGATTTTTCAAATTATAATCTGGCCCTCCAACAGTTTGAGGGACCGTGACCTGGCCCTCTATTTAAAAAGTTTGAGGACCCCTGGTATAATGTATATACATTATCTCTTGTAAGTCGCTCTGAGTCCTCTTCGAAGTGAGAAGGGCGGCATATAAATGTCACAAATAAATAAATAAACAAACAAACAAACAAACAAAACAGTTCTGGGCTCAAGCCTATTACACTGCATTCTGTGAAGCAAAAAAAAAGTGTCTTTGACAATATACAAACATTCAGACATTAAAAAAATGTGTATGTTTCTAAATTGCAGACAGTAGGTTTTATTCTGTGTTGTCTATACATCTAATAATATATCAATGTAATAAAATTCGATATGAAACAGGCACAGAAAGGGACCTAGAGATGGGAAAGGGGGGACGTGCATGATGGGCTTGGCAAATCCCATTATCCTTACCTTAGAAATATTTGATTGAAAAGTGTGTGAAATGCGAAACTAGGCTTAATGAAATGTTGGTCTCAACCAGCAGCTCTCACTTGTCTGATGATGGAGCAGAACCACAACCATGTAGTCAGATCTTATAAATACTTGCAGATATTGGATTATGGTCATATAAATCTGTAAGTTTTAATCATGGCACATTAGCATGATGGTTTCCATTAACCTATTACCAGCAAGGAAGAGCATTTCCAGCTGAACGTTGGCAATGAATCAGCCTATCAACGGAATAAAGCTTGCAATTGGAAAAGGTCAAAGGCAGGAAGCGTACCATGCGTGGGTGTCTTCTCTCTCCGCCGCACACCTGTGGCTCTTCCTCTTTCATATTCAGAGCTCACTGGATGGCCCTCGCCTTCTATTAACGTGTAATACTTTCCGGTTTCATGTTCCAAAAAGTAGCTTGGAGACTCTGAACCCTTCATCCCAGACTTCCCGATGCCATATTTACTGATGTCATCACAAGACACGATCCCAATGTCATCCCTAAGAAGAGAGAAAGAAGTGAGGCAAATGGCCTGTTGACAACCAATGGTCTACAAGGAGATAAACATGGTTTTTCTAAAATACAAACAATTAAAATGGAATAGACTATTGTATCCTGCTTTGTCTTAGAAGGATCGCAAGAGTGTCCAACTCAGTTCAAAAATAAATAATAAAGGGAGAGAGAAAACCAAAGGTTGATGCTTGAAAACACTTGGCAGCTCGTTGTAGGTTTTTTCGGGCTATATGGCCATGGTCTGGAGCATTCTCTCCTGACGTTTCGCCTGCATCTATGGCAAGCATCCTCCGAGGTAGTGAGGTGAAGTAATGCCTCCAGACCATGGCCATATAGCCCGAAAAAACCTACAGCAACCCACTTGGCAGCTCATCTGGAGCCTTCTCTGGTGTCATTCTTCTCTGGGTCTCTTTTAGAAACTGGCATGCTCTAAGTTTCAATCTAGCAAAGTTAAGCAAAAGTCTCAGGTTCCAGGAAAGTGCAGTAGAAAAAGCCCAGAGAAATGTTGGGTCAAGGAGTAGAGCTATCCTCCCTGGACTACCTTAAACATCCCCTCTCTTTTCTCTACTGACTGCAATCTCCTTTCTGCTTCAGGTTTTGCTTCCTTAAAGCTGTTTCTACTTTTAGTTCTAGAGGAGAGGTAGGTTTCTCTTTTTGTTTGCTGGGATTACTATCATTAACTTTTAGAAGTATTTTCTGAAGGAGAGGAAGGGAAGGGAAAAAAGAAGAAGCTAAAAGGGTGACTCTTCAAGCCCCCAATTGTGCACGCGCACCTCATACACCGTCCCTTGGGTCCCCAACTCCCACAAAATTAAAAAAAATCAGGAAAATAAAGGAAAATAAAAAGATTGAACTATGATGTTGAAGAGGGGAGGAGGAGCCATTATCGGCTGCCATTTCATAGAATCATAGACCCAAAGAGTTGGAAGAGACCTCATGGGCCATCCAGTCCAACCCCCTGCCAAGAAGCAGGAATATTGCATTCAAATCACCCCTGACAGATGGCCATCCAGCCTCTGTTTAAAAGCTTCCAAAGAAATTTGGTCCCTTTTCGGATGATAATCCGTTACGGCTGGGTCCTTGCCTTTATGGATACTGGATCAAACTGAAGAAGCCAAATTGGCTGAAGGGAATGGCTAAAAACCGATCCAGGGTCAAGTCTATTGGTAGGTAGCCCTTTCTCGGAATGACTGAAAGGAATAGGGATGTATTTGTGTATTTCTGAGGACAATTTCAAAATTGCAAACCCATACCTAATGGGCAAGATTATGATACAAATTGCATATTTTTTATTTTATTTTAATGAACATTTCATAAATATTTGTTTGCAAAAAAAATCATGCAAAAATACATTTTGGTGCAAAATTTAATTTGGGGAGGGGGCACAGTGTAATATTTCCTGCACACACTCTTTTGTGCCCAAAATAACAATGAAGGAACCCCTGGAAAGTGTTCTTTATAGCCCTAGTCTGAAAAGAAAAAGATCAGAATAAATTGCGGCTGGTGAGGGATGAAAAGAGTAACAAAAAAAAAAAAAAGGACTTCTTGAAGTATGTCTGATTGAAGAGGAAGGGACTGTTGCTCAATAAGGATGATGAAATATTAATGCGGACAAAAGTAGATCTTCTCAGCTCTTGTGTTGCTTTTGTCTCTCCTGTAAAGTGGAGCGGTGTCCTGTCTTCCAGAAATAATGCAACTGGCAGAGAATCAAAACTGTGGTTAAGAACTTCTAAGCAATTGGTCAGGAAATCAATAGCTACCTTAGAGAAGTTCAAGTCTGCAAGGACAGGAGTTTTAAAGGTTAGTCGAGTATATTAAACAAACTTGCTAGATACTTTGAACAGTCATATCTACTCAGGTCGAAAGACAAACAGAGAAACCCAAGGAAGAGAACCCCAGAACATTTTTTCATCCTCCTCTCTCATTAAGAACAGTATTGGCTTTGTATTGTCAAAGGCTTTCATGACTGGAATCACTGGGTTGTTGTAGCCCAAAAAACCTACAACAACCCAATATTGGCTTTGTATATTTGTCAGGCATGTTGGCTTTCCCTTTCTTTACTATGAGTAAGGGAGACGCAGTGCTGGATTAAACCACTAAGCTGCAGAACTTGCTGACTGAAAGGTCGGTGGTTCGAATCTGCAGGACGTGGTGAGCTCCTGCTGTTAGCCCCAGCTCCTGCCAACATAGCAGTTCGAAAACATGCAAATAGGAGTAGATCAATAGGTATTGCCTAGGTGGGAAGGTGATGGGACTTCATGCAAATCATGCTAGCCACATGACTTTGGAGGTGTCTATGGAGAATGCTGGCTCTTCAGCTTAGAAATTGTGATGAACACTATCCCCCAGAGTCGGACTCGACTAGATTTAATGTCAAGGGGAACAGACTGTGCTCTGGCACCACGAGATGCAGAGCCAACCTTAAGAAATGGGCCTACAAAGTGGAATCCACGACATGCGAGTGTGGAGAAGAGCAAACCACTGACCACCTGCTGCAATGCAACCTGAGCCCTGCTACATGCATAATGGAGGACCTTCTTGCGGCAACACAAGATTGTTTATCTTGTAGACTATGGTTCTGGTGTCCACATGCAAAGTATACCTGGGGCCATAAAGTCCTGACATGGGGGAGAGGATGAAAACGTCTTGGAGAGTCGAGTTGTCCATTTTGGAGCTCAAGCCCATTGTGCTCGTTGGTGTGGTGGAATTGCTCGTTGGGCTGGTTGGAATGACAGGCTGGAGAAAGGGAGGCAGAGGGTGAAAGAGAAGAAAAAGAGAGAGAGAAAGAACAGATTGAGTAAAGTAGTCCCTTCTAGCGATTTGTGCCTCCCCCCTCCCTTCGCCGCATGCTCTTTTCTGCAGCAAAAGCTGGCATGTGCATTGGCCTGTCTGGCATCACTTCCTTGGAAGCTTTCTCATGGTTGGCTCTAACAAAAAAATTCTCCCCAAAGAGAGATTTGTGGAAATATCTCTATCTCACAGAATCCCTGGAAGCTTAGAGTTATTTGGAAGGCGATGCCTCAGTGGAAGGAAACCAATCTCTCTGTCCCACTAAAGATGTTCTTTCACACTCACATATATCTCAACGTATTATGGACAATAAAAATCTAGGTTATAATTCAGTTACGCAACACGAAGAACATCCAATATTTAACCCAGGGATATCTCAAGGATCAGGGAATCATAGCCCTTGGGTCAGAAGCAGGAAAATAGCATTCAAAGCACCCCTGACAGATGGCCATCCAACCTCTGTTTCAAAGCCTTCAAAGAAGGATCCTCCACCACACTCTGGGGCAGAGAGTTCCACTGCTGAACGGCTCTCACAGTCAGGAAGTTCTTCCTCATGTTCAGGTGGAATATCCTTTACTGTAGCTTGAAGTCATTGTTCCTTCTCGTAGTCTCCAGGGCAGCAGAAAACAAGCTTGCTCCCTCCTCCCTATGACTTCCCCCCACATATTTATACATGGCCCTCATCTCAGCCTTTTCTTCTTCAGGCTAAACATGCCCAGCTCTTTAAGCCACTCCTCATGGGGATTGTTCTCCAGACCCTTGATCATTTTAGTCACCCTCCTCTGGACACATTCCAGCTTGTCAACATCTCCTTTCAATTGTGGAAAGGAAAGATCAGAATTTTTGGAATGCTACTGGTCACATTGGGTTGGATCCAGATCCACTCATGAGTCAAACAGAACCATTGAAATGGGTTGACTGGAAAAACGTGTGTTGGCAGCTGATTGGCTTAGCATGCCAGGAGCCAGAATTCCAATTGGCTACTGTCTCTGGTTTGCTGCTGAGACAAACGGTTTTAACTGCCACTTTCACCTCAGAGATTGAAGAGAGCGCTGACTGGAAACAGCCAGGAAGGAAATGGCTGTCAACTCTCTGAAGCCTGATCATTTCTAAGGCATGAAGCATATTTTAAAGACTGTTTAAAAGGACTGTTTATTCCCTCTGTTTTCAGTGTGAATTCAGAGAGACTGCTATATATATATATATATATATATATATATATATATATATACTAGCCATTCCCTGCCACGCATTGCTGTGGCCCAGTTGGTGGACTGTTCAATTCCTAGGGAAATCTAGTTCAGGATATTTTTGGCTAGATTCCTAAGGGGCAGTTTGGGGAGTTACTTTCAGAGATTAATTTCCTGAAGTAATTTTCTGTGGTGGAACTTTGAAGACTTGTAACCCACAAGAGTTTAAGAGTTTACTCTAACGCAACCACAAGCTTTTTATGCCAGTATTTTCCAAAACCAATAAGCATTTGTACCTGAATTATTTCAAGCTTGTTCAATAAACCTTCTTATTCTTTCATTAACTTATACCAGTCTCAGTGTGTGTACCTTTGTGGTCAAAGTATTTCTAAAGTCAGCTTCACAGCAGCCACTAAGAAACTACAGTGGCACAGTGTGTGTTAAAGAACAAACTCACAATATTACCTCAGCCTGATTAATACTGGAATGGTGGCAGCGGAATTCAGTTGAAGAAGTATTTTAAGTCTCTCAGTTCTAGTGTTTCCCAGTTCCTACCTTTTAAAATGCTACGTGTCTCTCCCCTTCTCTGCTCTAATCCCCCCTGATATTGATCTATTCAGTGGGATATATTTCAACGATTAAAATAAAGATAAATTTTAATATACAGCTGTTTCAACAACCATATTCCCTCGTCCTTTTGACAGCTTTATAGTTTTGGTGAACACGCATTCGTATTTTAGGTGGTGCCTGTGTGTTATACATAGCTTTTACATTTTGCAGGGTTCAACACCTCTTGATGGTGCAGCAATGTAAATCAGAGAAGTATCAGTACTGTCCTTCCATAAATATTCATAAAGTGATGTAACGAGAGTGGTTTGCTAAGGTAATTCAATGTCGGAAGGGGAGAGGACCAGAAACGGTAACTGTAAGGGAAAGAGATCCTTTCAAGAAGCCCACATGGGATCTCTGATATGAAATCATCCCACTCATATCATGCCAGGTCCCTCTGGGGATGCACGCAGCATGGTTGGCACGCCTGCCATGTTTTCTAATTAAAAGCTGACAACATCGGAATAAAACACTGTCACAGGAGAACGTTCTCCTGCTGTTACACAGCACACGATGGCAAAGCTAATGCGCTGATGGAAAACGCTGAGACAGGGCCAAGAGAGATATTTTGGAGGCTTCATTGCATGGCTTGTTTTATCCCACTGTATTCTGGAACCAGTTTACATGCCACATGCGCACACATAAAAATTAGCATTCAGTGACAGTAGCATCCAATGTGTGAATTAGAACTCACTAATTGCACTCGGTAGCAACCTTCAAATCATGATTATGAATAATGCGGAGTCAACTGTTGCTCCATAGGACAGGATTGGATTCCATGGGTGGATCTTGGAGGGCAATAAACATAGGCAAATCTTTGGGGGAACCTTTTTAGAAAGGAAAAGTACTTTGGGAATTGAATAGACTAAAAATCTTCCCTTCCCTTGTAGTAGGGATTTATAGGTTTTTTTTATTGCGTTCTCATATAAACATTCAATAGCGTTTCCCCCTCCCAAATGTAAAAAAATATTGTTGCGAAAATATTCCAAGAGTCTCACTTTGGAAAAATCTCCTAAAGATGTTCCGACTCAGTCGTTCTGCTCCCACAACTGCAATGATAAGGGAATGCTCAGCCCTACAGCAGAGAGTTCACAGCAGAGCTCCTGATGAACCAGCCTGGACACAGCATATTATTTGAGAACACAGAAATGCTGGACCACTCTAACAACTACCATGTCAGGCTACACAGAGAAGCCATTGAAACCCACAAGCATGTGGACAATTTCAACAGAAAGGAAGAAATCATGAAAATGAACAAAATCTGGCTATCAATATTAAAAACCTCAAAAATTATACAGTAAATAAAGAACAAAACTCAAACAAGGGGGAACTCCAGACAAGAAACAAACAGGAACAGCTAATTACCTCTCAACAAAAGATTCTCCTAGGCAATAACAAGCCACACCTGAAATCTCTCGGGCCATCAAATGCCAATCAACGTGGCTGTTAGAGCTCAGCCTGTGATTGTGTTTCAGGATCAGGGTGCTTTGGATGTGGGGAGTGATGTCAATGAGTTTCAATATGGCAATGGTTTGGTCAAGGATATTAATGCAGAAAATGACAAGGAGATCCCTGTTTTAAGTGCAGTTTCCCATGAGAATGTTCCTGGAGAGTGTGGGGATGATGGTGTGCTCCCTGAATTGTTACCAGAGGGTTCCCAGGATTTGGGGCTTGAAAACAATGTTGCACCTGCAGAAGTTAATGAGCAAATAGATAGACGGTAGGAGATTAGTCAAAAGAGACAAGCCGAACAGTGCCTTCGGCGGTCTGCCAGAATCCAACAGAAAAAGATAAGGGAATCTCAATTAAAGTGAAACCAATTTATGAGTGCTTGGGATAGCTTAACGAGGGGATAAAAGTTCCAAGTATGGGAAATACAGTCAAATGAAGCATTGTTTGAAATCAAATGTAGTTTTTGTCCTTGTTTCATGAAAGCCTTGCTGGGAAGATTCTTGATTAAGTATTTCTTGTTTCATGGTTTGGATTCTTGGATTGTATAAATGCCTTGGATTAATGTTTCCTGGTTTTCTGAATTATATTAGAGAAGGGTGGACTTTGTTTTTATGGAGTTTGCTGAACTTTACCTTGGACTATTTTTGCTCCTGCTTATCTTCTTACCTAATTAGATTTACCTAATTCTTTAAAGTGCTTTTTACTTGCTGGTTTTTAATTATCTTCAATAAAAGGATTGTTTTCCTAACAACAGTGTGGTGTTTACATTCAGAGGGCTTTTCCTGTCCTGGAGTGCAACAGTGGCCAATTGAAACATTCACACCTAGCTTCAACAGACAAGAGTTCTTTCCTTAGATATATAAACCCAATTTTTCTAGTTTCCAACAGACCTCACAACCTCTGAGGATGCCTGCCATAGATGCAGGTGAAACATCAGGAGAGAATGCTTCTAGAACATGGCCATACAGCTCGAAAAACCAACAACAACCCAGAGTATGTAGTGTTGTATATTTACTATAATAATATGCAGCATCTTAGATGTTTGGATGTCACTGGATTCTTCCTTTCGGGAACTGTAACTCCGGGGCAACAGAAGTCTGTTCCTCTGACATCACCCACAAGCTGGGTTTCAAATAAATGGCCTCTGAAAACTCTTGAGGGCAGAGACATTAGGAAAATAAGGCATCATTCAACAGTCAGAGCATCGATCCTTTTAGCTCAAGCACTGCCAACTTGGACTGAACATGTGCTCCAGACTTTTAAGCAGGATTATTCCTTTTCTCCCTGGAGGCTGGCATCATCTTAGATACTTATGCGCATGTAAATGTCCTTTACATAGGCATATGTGGAGGCAGGTATTCTCCCCTTCCCTCTGCAACATCCATCCACCAGTCTCTCATTTCCCAAACAGCCTCCAAAGTCCTATGTAAGGCCATTCCCTGCTTTGTCTAAAAGAAGCATTCCCTGATACAAGAGCCAAAGTCCACCATGAGGTACATCTACACGGCAGAATTAATGCAGTTTGACACCATTGACCCATCGTCATTATAATGGTATCAAACCTTAAACTATATGGGATTGCAACCATTATGTCTCATTCAATTATCAACCAAACCTTATGCTCCTTAGTTTCCAAAATCAGACAAATTCAGGTGGATTCAAAATGGAATGGCTGGGAGGCAACATTTTTTGGTAATAGCATAACTCGCCTCTTTTCCTCTATTTTGGGAAGGGGAGTAGAGGCTCTGCCTCTGTAAATGATAATAGCAGTAACAGACCCTGCACATTGGACACCCTTTTATATCTCCCACAATGTGTGTATGTGTGTTGTGGGGAAGGAGAGGAAGGCAGCTGCTATATACAAACAAATGGGGAAGAATACTCTGAGAAAAGTCTGCAGAGAAAGTTCTTTTTCAAGGGAAGAGTGGGAAAAACAAACAGACTTTTCATTGAAAAAACATCGGGAGAAGAACCATAACATCCACACCACATTTCTAGATGTCAAGAAGGCATTTGATTGGGTTCCATGTGATCTTATATGGATGGCATACTGCAACTCGCTTCCGGATTACACTTTACACAAATGATCAGCCACTGCCAGAAGGGACAGAAAGTTTCTTCTATGCTGACGATCATGCCATCACCGCTCAAGCAGGGAGTTTTGAAATGGTTGGACAGAAGCTCTCCGAAACTTTAGAAAACTAGCTTATTCCTAATCCATCTAAAACACAGATGTATGCTTTTCATCTTAAGAACAGACAAGCATCTTGAGCTCTGAGGATTACCTGGGAAGGAATCCCACAGAAAGGAAAACTTTGGACACATCTATGCTGTAGAATGAATCCACTTTAATTGCTTTGGTTCAATACTATAGAATCATGGGGACTATAGTTTTACAAGGCCTTGAGCCTTCCTTGCTAAAGGATGCTGATACCTCACCAAACTACAAATCCCAGCATCCCATAGCATTGAGCCAAGGCCATTACATTACTGTCCCTCAGATAGGAGATCCAGGTTCTCCTGAAGCAGTTTCTTCCCCTTTTGCTTTGGCCCAACATTAAGATTACTGTATCACGGAAATTAATACACAGCCTAATTTTGGCAGGGTAATTTATAAAAAAAAAACAAAAACCGACAAGCAGACTTATGGCATAAGAGTTCCTTGGAGATCTTGATCCCTTCCTATGCAGGATCCTTGGGAGGTGCATGATTGGTCTTGCAACCAGGGAAAAGTGGGTGCTAGAAACAATATCATACAAAAGCTGACTGGCATAACCTGGGGATCACAATCAGACACAATGAAGACATCTGCCCTTGCGCTTTGCTACTATGCTGCTGAGTATGCATCCTCAGTGTGGAACACATCTCACAATGTTAAAACAGTGGGTGTGGCTGTTAATGAGACATGCCGCATTATCACAGAATGTTTATGCCCTACACCATTGGAAAAATTATACTGTTTAGCTGGTATTGCACCACCTGACATCCAACGGGAAGTATTAGCCAACAATGAAAGGACCAAGGCAGTGACATCTCTGGCCCATCCTCTGTTCGGATATCAGCCAGCACGCCAATGCCTTAAATCAAGTAATAGTTTTCGAAGATCTACAACAGGGGTCCTCAAACTTTTAAAACTGAGGGCCAGGTCACAGCCCCTCAAACTGTTGGAGGACCAGATTATAATTTGAAGAAAAAACATGCATATCTTATTTGCAGTTCAAAAACCGCTTTAAAACAATACAATAATTAAAACGAAGAACAATTTTAACAAATATGTCAGGTTTTACAATGTATTGTAATGTAATATAGCTGAGTCATGCACTGCTAATGGGCTTCTATTGGAAATGCTGAGTCATGCATTAACTGTATATAGAACTTCATTTGGGGAATGTGTTCTGGCCTAGTCCAGGTGATTGTGAATGATGTAATCCTGGGTCTGACTTAAGTTAATGAGTTGGGAACCAATCAGAGATTGCTATGTGTAATTGTATAGAATTGTATATAAGGAAGTCATGTAGAGTGTATACTCTCTCCTTGTGCTGTGATGCTGTTCGTCGAAGGCTCTATGTAATTGATTAAAAGAACCTGTCTGCTAAGACAAGATATAACCGTGTGCTGTGGTAAGTTTGTAGTGTCATCTAGATTGGAGGGGAAAACAATAGTAAAACTGACAATGGCTGGGCATGTGCTCAAGTGCCTGTGGAGAGTTCCAGGGTGACTGCAGTTTGTGGGAGCAGTTGACTGAAAATACTGTGCAGGAAGAAGCTACTGGAAAGCGCTGAAGTTGTGCAACTGATCTGCTGCTGAATTGTGAAAGTAATCTAAACTTATTAGTATTTCAATGGGAAGTGTGGGCCTGCTTTTGGCTGATGAGATAGGATTGTTGTTGTGTGCTTTCAAGCCGTTTCAGACTTAGGTTGACTCTGAGTGAGGCCTGGGTAAATGACCTTGGAGGACCGTATCCGGCCCCCGGGCCTTAGTTTGAGGACCCCTGATCTACAGAGATACCCACAGGAACACCTCAGCAAGCGAGAGTTCAAAAGTGGCAGGCTAAAACCTGGAACCTGAACCCATGGCTGATACTGAGTGAGAGACTCCATCCTGGGCACACAGAAGACTGGGCAACCTGGAAAGCACTGAACTGACTGCGTTCTGACACCACGAGATGCAGAGCCAACCTTAAGAAATGGGGCCACAAAGTGGAGTCCACTACATGTGAGTGTGGAGAAGAGCAAACCGCAGACCACCTATTACAATACAGCCTGAGCCCTGCCACATGCACAATGGAGAACCCTCTTATAGATGGCAATCCAGCTTCTAGTCAAATGACATTTAGTATAATGTCAAGTTTTTAAAACTTTGTTTGTGTTTTTAAATATATTACAACTGGACCCTTGGTTTGCTTCTGATATGATAAATAAATAAATAAATATACCAGTGAAAATTCAATAAATATGAGAATAGTCCTGCCTTGGCCTTTAATAAAAACAATGTCCATCAGAAGGAGACCCAGCCCTAGGTGAACCTTACCTGTAAGGCTAGCGGTTTCCACCGTACGTTCTTCAGGAGGGCCGGGGCGGACACCAGGGTGTTCTGGGGCCGTTTCTTCAAGGTTAAGATCACGCCGTTTGGGTCTTCGCGCAAGGCATTGACCAGGTTCTTTAACTGCCAGCCAACCTGAGGAGAAATCCCATAATGGACTTTTGAAAGATTTCCCTTCCCCTTTAGCTGCTTGAAATAGCGACGGCTGTTCTGTACGACCGACAAGGGATGTCCCGCTATTATCACTGCAGCGTACATATATATAGGTTACATATATTAACAACTTTATAGACCATTTGTGGCCAGAAATAGAAATTACGGAATTTCCACCAAACGTTGCTTCTTTCTCTCCAACAGAAATAGAGGTTCAATCGTTATGAAAACAATAAAATATCAGTGGCAATCCCCAAAAGCGCAAATATTTTCCCCCAAAGATAATGATGAACTGCTCTAATTTTATATATCCCTTTAAAAAAAACACACACACACACAGAATTATTGCTTTTAATTATCTGTTCTGGTGGAGTATCCGTGTATTTCACTGGAGGATTACCGAACAGCAGCTACAGGATAATTACAAAATGAATCCTCGCTATTGTAATAGGACCTGTTAATTTGGGGATGTGGGGAGACGGAAGAGGGATTTCCCAGCATATTGTAGAACAATATTGGTGCAATTTCTTCAAGGTGTTTAATTACCGATAAAACATCGTTTTATTTGACTTTACGGAAAACTCCACGGAGAGGGACTGAACTTCTAAATTACTGCGAGCCATAACCATTATTGGAAATTAAAAAAACAAAACCCACAAGGGCCATATTTGTGTATGTGTGTGTGTCCCTCGCAACGTATTGTGTGTGTCAGAACTGCTTTGTGGTGCTTAGGATCTCTTTGTTCTCCTGAATAAACATCTCATCATCTCACCAAATGCAATGCTTAAATAGCATTCTGAAATGGCTCTTAAACCAATAGCCTGAACTGATGAATGGAGCAGAGCATCGAAAACGTTGTTTCCCTCGTTTAATTCTCTCCACACAGACACACAAACACATCACGGAGGATTTCCAGAGGTCTCTTTTGAAATTTCATGAGTGGATATTGGGATAAACTTGTGCGATATTTCAGCAAACCACGCAATTTACTTTTGGTTCTGTTTGAGAGTAACAGCACAGAAAAGCAGGCTTTGGGTTTCCTTATTGGTGCCCGGGAAGCATCTACACTGCAGAATGGATGCACTGTTGAAGGCTTTCATGACCAGAATCACTGTGTTGTTGTGTGTTTTCTGGGCTGTATGGCCATGTTCCAGAAGCATTCTCTCCTGACGTTTTGCCTGCATCTATGGCAGGCATCTTCAGAGGGTGTGAGGTTGCCTGTCATAGATGCAGGCAAAACATCAGGAAATAATGCTTCTGGAACATAGCCACACAGCCTGGAAAATACACAACAACCCAGAATGGATGCAGTTTGACACCACTTAAATCTCAATGTCTCATTGTGATGGATTCATGGGAGCTACAAGGTCTTTGGCCTTCTCTGCCCAAGAGTGCTGGTGTCTCACCAATGGACAACCCCCATGATTCCATAGCATTGAGCCCTGGTAGATAAACTGCAGTCTGTTGTAGATCAGACTGAGGCTCCTGAGGCTGATTGGTTCATTGATGATTTAGAGAGGGTTGTGGGAATGCCTGGGGAATTTCCTGGGACTCAAAGTGATGAAGATTCAAGTCAGGGGAATGATGCTTCTCTCTGTGATAAATCTGACTTGTAAAGTACAGGGCTTCAAGGTCAGTCAGAGGAGCTAGAAACTGCAACATTAGATAAGGAGTTGGGTGAAGAGTTAAGTGATACAGAAGGCTCTCAGGGGAAATCAGACCTGTAGCCGGGGGGGGGGGGGGGGGGGGGGGGGGGGTAGGCCCCCCCCCCTCAAATTTTTCAGGTTAAAAAAACCCTGGTTTACTCATGAATTTTAACTGGTTAACCAAATCCCCATGCTAAGTCTATGAGACGCAAAAAATTAAGAGTCCCTCCAGAACTGCAAGCACTATCTCAAGCAAATATTGACAATTTATTCACACTGTCATTACTTGCAGCAATAGCCGATGTAGTGAAGCAACCAAGTTTTGGGGGGGGGGGGGTGTTGAATGCTCTCATTAAGGAGGCCAGACTTGGTGGAGGTGGTTGACAGGGGCGGAGCTGCAGGCTATTGAAGGCTGCTCTGCCCTGCTGTGCTCTTTGCTTCAGCGTGAGCTAGGAGGCAGGTTTCAACCCCCCCAAATTTTCAACCCCCCCCTGAAATTTTCAACCTTCCCCCAAAAAATTTTCTGGCTACAGCCCTGGAGGAAATGATATGACTTCATGGGTGCCTAGTAATTAGGTAATGGTAAAGGTTTTCCCCTGACATTAAGTCCAGTCATGTCCAACTCTGGGGGTTGGTGCTCATCTTTATTTCTAAGCCAAAGAGCCAGCATTGTCCATAGACACCTCCAAGGCCATGTGGTCAGCATGACTGCATGGAGTGCCGTTATCTTCCTATCAGAGTGGTACCTATTGATCTACTCATATTTGCACATTTTCGAACTGCTAGGTTGGCAGGAGCTAGGGCTGACAGTGGAATCTCACACCACTCCTCGGATTTGAACCTGCGACCATTCGGTCAACAAGTTCAGCAGCTCAGTAGTTTAACCCACTGCGCCACCAGGAACTGTAATTAGCAAGGGTTAGTTCAGGCAACGTAGCATTCAAGTGAGAAGCTAGGCCTGAATTCTTCGGTTCTTGTTTCAAGTCAAGCCTTGGTTTTGGATTCAAGTTTAGTAGGAGTTTCTATGTTCCTGTTTTTGGGGTTCCTGTTCAAGTATACCTTTTGCTTGTGGACTTAAGCTGTTCTTGTGACTTTGGGTTATTCATGGACTGTATTACCTTTGACTCTGTAGGAAGCATTTGGATTCCTGTTGGATCATCACCTATTGCTAAACCTTTTTGGATTATACATCTACTTTCTTTATTCCTGATTTTCCCTATATTTTTGTGTGTTTCTACAATAAACTGGTTGCTTATATTCTGGACTCTTGTGTCGTGCTGTGATCATAGGTGTTCCCAGGCCTGGAGTGCAGCAGGGTCAAACTGCATTAATTAAACAATGTAGATGCACCCCACAATGTAGATGCCATGATCCTGCATCAGAGGCTATGATGCAAAAACCTTACAATGATATTATTTGTGTACAGATAGATTCTGACTCATGAGATGCATCTGCAGTATAGAATTAAAGTAGTTTCATTCCACTTTAACTGCTCTGGCTCAATGCAATGGGATCACTAGAGCTATAGTTTTACAAGGTCTTTAGCTTTCTCTTTCAATGGTGCCTCATCAAACTACAGATCCCATGATTCCATAACATTGAGCCAGGACAAGTGCAGTGTTGTCAAACTGCTTTATTTCTACAGTGTGAATGCACTGGGATGCACCCTACATCACAGTGGCTCAGCAAACATACGCTCACCACCTTATTAACATTAATATAACTCACAAATAGTTTATGAGGTGATTTCTTTTAACCTAGTGAGTCTCCTCGGTAATAAATTAATCTTCGGTGTATTTTGGCACTATCTTTTTATCTCCCTGCATTTAAGCTCGCCATCAACAAAGTCTCATTTTCTTAATATTTAATCAAGTATCGGAGAACTGGCTCTAATTTTCAAGCTCTGTATTTAAAAAAAGTTAAAATCTGGGAATCTCTCAGGCTTCACCCGCGACTTCATTCTGACGAATGCTACATAATTAATGTCCTGAAGATAAATGGCTCGGAGGAGAAACCTTAATGAGGGAACCATTAAAATACTAAGAATAAACGCAAGTGAGAGCAGCTTGCCCTGAATGTCAGCAGGCTCTGATGGCAAACTCTGAGGATGTAATCACTAGTATTGCTCAGGTATTATAGCTGGGCAAAATGTAGAGACATTGTATCATGGAAGACTGGTCCTTCTTGAAAAGGCTGTTGAAAGGTTGGCTGCCAACCAGCATTATGCTCCTTTGTTTTAAAGAGTCAAGTAATTTCTAGGGGGCCCTTAAATTGGGACTAACCACTCCCCAAGTTAGAATCAGATGAAAAACCCTTCTGAAGATGCATCTACACCAATGGTTCCCAACCTTTTTTTGACCAGGGACCACTTGACCAGGGACCATTTTGACCAGGGACCACTTGACCAGGGACCACTTTGACCAGGGACCACTTGACCAGGGACCACTTAACCAGTGACCACTTGACCAGGGACCACTTGATCAGGGACCACTTGGCCAGGGACCATTTGACCAGGGATCACTTATCAGGGACCACTTTGACCAGGAACCACTTAACCAGGGACCACTTTGACTAGGGACCACTTGACCAGGGACCACTTGACCAGGGACCACTCAACCAGGGACCACTCGACCAAGGACCACTCGGCCAGGACCACTTAACCAGGGACCACTTGACCAGAGACCACTTTGACCAGGGACCAATTTGCCCAGGCACCACTTGACCAGGGACCACTCTGATCAGAGACCACTCAACCAAGGACCACTTGACCACTCAACCAAGGACCACTTGACCAGGGACCACTTTGACCAGGGACCAATTTGCCCAGGGACCACTTGACCAGGGACCACTCTGACCAGGGACCACTTGACAAGGGATCACTTAACTGGTGACTACTTGACCAGGGACAACTTGACCAGGGAGCACTTTGACCAGGGACCACTCTCCAATATTAGTACCAAAAGGTTACGAATCAGTTTTGGTCAACTTTAGATTTGGTTTTGTTATTTGGGATGCTGACTCAGAAAATTGTATTGGATAGACCACATCAGCTCTAGTTTCTGATACAGAACACATGCCATCCAGTAGTTACCAACCACTCATCCACAGAAAACCATATTTAATAATCTAGATCTGATGTGGTAGTAGTAATCTTTCGTGGGTAGTCAACCTCTCCCCTCCCAACATCTTTGTTGCCTCGACGTTATAAGAGGGTTTCGCAAGACCAGTTGCTCTCGTTGCTGCATGGTTTTGAGTCAACGGTGTAGTAATGGTGAGGCTGCGGACCATATTTTTGTTCTTGTGGTCCATAGACCACAGGTTGGGAGCCACTGATCT